GCATTAGTAATATTTATAAATATAACCCACATACAGAAGAGCATTAAGGTCTTCAAGAACTTTTATGAATATAAACGGGTTCCAAGAATATTTGTTATCACTACTACCCTGTGCTTTTTCTACCTGATGTCATTTGACTATAATTTTCTCTGATAAAAGTTGTACTTATTTAATTTTTTATCATTATTGTTGAAATAGTGTAAATTTCTTTTACAGTAGTAAATTCTCACCTCTTAAGTGAGACATGAGTTCACTTTCTAGTCTATCAATGCTGTTATTTCCTTACCATGTCCAGTACAGGCATCCAATACCTTTTCTTGACAGGCAGAAAATTTGTTTAACAACCAAGCCAATATACTCACAAGATGCTGCAAAAGCTGGAGGGAAACAAGCTGTGTTCCTTGCTTTGTCCATTTAAGAGTACGATTCCTAAAATTTATCCATTCCCACAAAAAAAAAACAAAACAAAACACATAGATTGTGACTGCTAAAATCTTCATCTAGGCCACCTACCTCCTTCTCTAGCAAAACGAAGAATCATCACATACATTAGCTCTCTGGAATTAACATAAGACTTTTTTTATGACATTTTGAACACATAGGTTGCAATATGTTCCTACTTTTCTTTCCTCCCTGCAGTTCACAACCAACATATTTCTGCCATTTCCTCCAAATTTTTTACAAAATGGAAAATTAAAGAACAGAAGTGTTGCCTACGAACAGGAGGATCGTAATTTCTTTTGTGGGATCAAACCTTCCTATAAAAATTATGAAGTCTTTAAGATGTTAGTAAAATACCTTAATATACACTTGGGGATTTTGTTCATGTGGTTGTTTCAAGGCTAATAATTTACAAATACAAATTGTAAGCTATGTAAAAAAAATGCATAGAATCATGTATTACTTCATGTACAATTTATTCCCATAGTTTTAGGAACTAAATGTAAGCTAAATAATAAATAATAAACTACATGGCATTTTTTGAATGTGTACTATACAGCAGATAGTCTTTTAATATTGATGTATCATTTTAAAAAAATTCCCAATAATCCTTTAAAGTATCTTTTGTTTATGTGTCTCTGTGTGTATCAGTGTGGAGTATTCACTTACTGGTTCATTTGTCCTAACTGTCTACATTTATTTTTACCCATATCTGTGAGACTCCACAACAATTCTTTACTAGGACTCAAATTCTTACTGAAGAGAAGAAAAATAGGTAAGCAAAAGGAGGATAGGGATTTAAATGAGAATGCCAGTACTCATAAAATGTAAGTACTCATCTTAAAGTTGCAAAAATATTGTTTTTTTTTAAAGATTTATTTATTTATGCTTACAGAACTGGGGTACAAGCTAGATGTGCAGGGACAGTGAGAGGATCACCAGAGACAGAGTAGGGAGCAGAACAGGCAGATGGATGAAGTACACTGTTGAGGGGAGCAGCGGGGGGGTCAGGAGAGGTCTGCCATGCCATGTGGATCACCTCAGAGGTGGGGAATGAAACTCGCACTGTAGCTAGCTTGCAGTGCTGTGTCTTTACCCATTGGGCCACCAGGGAGTGCCCAATTTTGTTATTTTTTTATCTTAGTAAATGTATACTTTTTTATAAGCTAGGTTTGTGAGTTGACAGTTTTCCCAACTGGTCCTTCTATTTGAAAAAAGATTCCTCCAATGTAATATAGTAGCTATTATAACTATACTACAAAAGAAAATATGGTCCTCCTTGGTGGTTCAAAGGGCTAAGTCACAGCAGCCCCCTCCGTGTGAGTTCAATCACCAGCCCTGGAGGTGACCCACATGGCGTTCAGCAGACCTCTCCTGTCTCATCCACTGCTCTCCTCAACAGTGTACTTGGTCGGTCTGCCTGTGTTGCTTCCCAATCTCCCTGGTGAAACCTCTCACCACCTCTGCACCTCTGGCCTGTACCCCAGTTCTGTATGCATAAATAAATAAATCTTTAAAAAGAGAAGAAGAAGAACATATGACTGCCCATATCCAAAACACTTATGGGATTTTTTGTGCATTTTTTCCCTCTAGTACCACAAGAGTATATGTTACCATAATTTCTCATTTTGCTCATGTCTGTCTCATATGCATCCCCACTAGGGTGAAATGTTATTAGTTTTATATACTAAATTAAGTGCATAGCTTTGACTGGCTACCCAAAAAGTGTTCAATGAAAGAATGAGTCCATTTGTGACTTGAAAGAGTTAAACCCTTCCTTTCAGGTCAAATGCACAAATCGATTCTTGACTAGAAAACAGACCACCCATTGCTATTTCAGGTCACACACCTGTTTCCTTAAACAGCATTGCCAAAAACACATTCTATATTTTATTTTATTACTTTCTGTGTAACAATCTTTCCTTAGCATTAGAGGTGTTTCATTAAAAAGCTGTATAACTTCAATTATTTTTTTGCTCACCTAGATAAAGGAATTCAAGTAAAAGTAAGAGTGAATTCAAGGATATTTTGTGCATTTATGAAATGGTACAAACCAATTACAGTCTTACATTGGGCACCCTTTATTCACTTATCCTTGAGCAACACCTATGTTGTATCACCTGAAAAGTTAATATTTAAGGAGAACTTAGCATGAACATTAATGTAAGCACAAAATTGAAAATGTTAAATAAATATTAATAGGTTACAAGGACACCTAGACTATAGGACTTCCTTAGTATATGCTGAATGAGGCATTTGCTGTTGGGTTATTAATAAGAATGATCATCAGATTGCAATACTGAGATTTCTGTTTTTAAAAATAAATGGCTGTCTCATATGTAATTATTTAACCAGTTAATTTCTTAAGTGACTTGTTCTAAATATATCAATATATCCAGCTTAGATGTAATATATTAATTTATAAAACAAAATATATTTAATTAGTGAAATTCTTCAATATTCTTAGTTTTGTTTTTTTTTTTGATATTACTTTAATTTATGCCCCTTGGGTAATTTCATGATCATAGAGAAAACACAGTGCATGTTATATTAAAACAATTTTAGGTGTTTTTCATGTGATCTCTAGAGTTGGAGAAATTTTTTCTCTGATACCTACTTTTAATAAGAAGGGAATAATAACCTACAACATCAGGTAACATTAATTAATAAAAGAAACTGAAAAATATAACCTTCCTTGACAAGAAAAGGGACAATAAAGCTGCTATATTTAAACTGTTCCTTATTGCCCTAGGAATTACCTTTTACTTTAGCTAAATAAACATAATACACTTAGTGTGCTGACTTCTAATCAGACTAATTGTAATAGAATAAGTCACCATTTGTATCTAGAACATTATTTGGAGTCTTTGTTCCATTAGTTCGATAGGAACGAGTCCTAAATTTCAGTTTCCTCACCTGCATAATGAACTAAAAATAAATGAGATTATGTATGTAAAGGATTTGGTACAATACATGGTAAAAAGCATACAGGTATATGGTGATATTCATCAAAATCATCTGTTTCAAAAGGTTGCTTTAGTAATCATATTAGATAAACGCATTTGCAAATCCTTACAAACTGTACTTTGATAGAAGCATTAGAGATTATGACTTAAATGAACAACGGTCATATATTGTTTACCTTGACACAAGTAAAACATTGTTTTGAGATACATCCGTTTGTAAGACTCCGAATTCCACGGTAGTTAGAGATCAGCAGCAATCAGTCACCTTTTACCACTGTGGGAACTTGTTCAGGATAAACAGGCTAGGCTCTCCGGAAGTGAAAGCCTATGTGTCTTCTTAACCCATCTACAAAGAATGTCAGGATATTTTGTGCATTTATGAAATGGTAAAATGCAAAAGAGAGAGCTCCTTCGTGCACCTAGAAGTCACTTGTGAAAAGTACAAGTGTTTTCGGCCACGGGGTAGCTTTGAGTGGCTACCCAAAAAGTGTTCAATGAAAGAATGAGTTCTTTTATTTTATTTTCCTGGTAATCATGCATTGAGCTTCTTCGCCTCCCTGCCAGGTTGGCTGCTGCACTGTACAGCTTGTGTCGAATGCAGTGTTTTACCCTATTTACCACTCACGATTAAAAACCAGAGCCAGAATCATAAAAAAGAAACTCTTAGTTGGTTCCCGCATTGGGACTGAGAAATCTGCGCCTATCAGGCAGGTTTCGGGTGCAGCCACCAGACGCCCACTTGAGGCCGGAGCCGAGCGTTGCGTGCCCCGGTGCGCCACCCGCGCCGCCAAATGCTACAGCGCTGGACGCCAAAAGAGCTCAAGAACTGAGCCAGAATAAATGTCTACACTACACAACCTGTCTTAAAGCAAGCGCATCCCCACCAGGAAAATAATCGAGCTGCGTGTGAGCTGAATCCGAGTGGCATTTCGCCAATATAAATTCTATCTTGCTCATGCGCGTCTGCAGGAATAAAAGCAGTTTCAAAGGATAAATCCTACGGGCTTTGTTTTCGGTTTCTTTCAATAACGTTATTCTGGCTTTTTAGAATTTGGACTCCAGCCTGAGCGTCAAAACAGCAGAGAAAAGCGAGCGACTTTCCAAAGGTTACTTGGAGCTGAGCCGCACCAACCCCACTTTGTCAGGCATTAGTTTTGGGTCTGAGAGACTTCGGGCCGCTCCCTCACCTCGGGTGGGGAGAGAAGGATACTCTCCCACCCTGGGTCTGGCCAATCCTCCAAAAGCTGGCTGGCCAAACGAGGGTGTGTGGGTGGTGGGGTCACAGCAAGTCAAGCCACTCCAGGCGGACCCACAGAGAGCCTTTTAGCAAAAGCGCTCTCAGCCTTTTGCAAACTGCGCGTCCCTGCACCCAAGCGCGGGTGCACCGAGGCCCGGGGCAGCGGCGGCGGCGGCGGCGCGCGCACGCGCAC